TATTTTTTTTACAAGCAATAAAATTCATATTTGAAATTTAATTATTTTCTAAAATTTTCATAAAATTCTTGACAAAATTTCAATTATTTTCAAAACTATTGATAAAATTCTATGCAAACATTTAATTACTTTTATAAATCATCAAATTCTTTTTGGGGATTCAATTATTTTTAAAAAATAATAAAAAAATTTCGCAGAAATTCAATTATTTTTTTTACAAGCAATAAACTTCATATTTAAAATTCAATTATTTTCTAAAATTTTAATAAAATTCTTGACAAAATTTCAATTATTTTCAAAAATATTGATAAAATTCTATGCAAACATTTAATTAATTTAATAAATTATTAAATTCTTTTTGGGGATTCAATTATTTTTAAAAAATAATAAAAAAATTTCGCACAAATTCAATTATTTTTTTTACAAGCAATAAAATTCATATTTGAAATTTAATTATTTTCTAAAATTTTCATAAAATTCTTGACAAAATTTCAATTATTTTCAAAACTATTGATAAAATTCTATGCAAACATTTAATTACTTTTATAAATCATCAAATTCTTTTTGGGGATTCAATTATTTTTAAAAAATAATAAAAAAATTTCGCAGAAATTCAATTATTTTTTTTACAAGCAATAAACTTCATATTTAAAATTCAATTATTTTCTAAAATTTTAATAAAATTCTTGACAAAATTTCAATTATTTTCAAAACTATTAATAAAATATTCTATGCAAACATTTAATTACTTTTATAAATCATCAAATTCTTTTTGGGGATTCAATTATTTTCATAAATAATAAAATTCTTTTTAGGAGTTCAAATTATTTTTATAAATAATAAAATTCTTTTTGCGAATAATTGAAATTTCGTAAAATGGAATATTGTATAGAAATAGATTTGAAAATTGTCAAAAAACTTTTTTTTTGAAAATTATTAAAAATCATCGATTTAAAGAAGAATTTTAGTTAAAAATTTTGGAAAATAATAATTGAATTGTATAAATGATTTTATCACTCATGTTTTATAGTTTTGAAAAATTTAATTTCTAGTTTTAGGTACAATGTTCTCTTATTTGATTCGGACTGATTATATTTTTTTTTACGTAATTAGTCCGTAATTTTTCATTTTTGGTACAAATCATTTAAAAAATTTTTTTTTAAATTTATTATTTTATTATTAAAAGAATTAAAAATTAAAAATTAAGAATTAAAATTAATGAATTAAATGAAGAATTAAAATTGTTTAAATTCTATTTTTTTTTAAATGCTAACTTTATTTTTAAAAAGTGAGGAAGAAATTGTCCGCACGAGTTAGGATGCTAATTGTTGATAGTTTAAATATTAAAAAGCGTTTAAATATTAAAAAAAAAAAAAAAAAATGAAAGAAATAGTAGGTATAAAATAAAAAATTGAAAGATGAGACACTTTGAAAATCAAAGTCAGTTCATTTCATCTGGAAGTGGGAATAATACACTAACACACTACTGACACGGGGAGAGTTAGAGTATCGGAGTTTCCTTTATGGCGTGATGTAATCTTCTCGGTGACATAAATAGGTGTAAAATAGTGAGCGAGCGAGCGAGCGAGAGGCGATCCTGTGCGCGCATATTCGAATAAGGGCGTGAAAATCAAAGAAATAATAGGTCTCTCTATATAATGTAGTCGTGAGAAAGCGTAAATATACCCCCTACGTTCTTTCGGTCGGCCTACATTTCGCTTTGTCAATAAACTCTCCACGTTGGGTTTTCACAAATGCCTACCGCCTGCCTCTGCCTCTTCCACCGCCACCGCTTGGCTTCTCACTTAATGTTTGCAAATCGTGACATTTCCTGTATGCATTTATAGAAACTTTCTATACCTTGTCATTTTCCTTGACAGTTAACTATATAGGATTATATACGTGTTTATGTGAAAACAAACGCACGCGTCTCATTTTCTATTAAAAATGCGCTCCTGTTGTTTTTTTTTCTTCATTTTTTTTTATTACTTTAAGCAGCGCGAGAGAAATTAAAAATCGACTCTTTTTCGTTACAGAATTTCTTCTCTAAAGAGACTTCGCACTTATCTACTAAAAATCTACTATTTACTACTTTTTTTTACAATTTTTTTTTACTATTTCGAGAAATTCTCGAATTCTTAACAATTATTTAATTATTTTCTTAAATAATAAAATTTTCACGAGAATTCCATTATTTAAAAAGATTTAAATAAAATTCTTTGCAGGAATTCAATTATTTTCAATAAATAATAAAATTCTTAGAAATTCTATTTCCTTTTTAAATTGGTAAATTCTTTCTTTAATTTTCCACTATTAGTATATTCTTAACACTGAAATTTAATGAACATCTTAGAAAAAGAAAAAATTTTTTTTTCCTTTTTTCATAAAAAATAAAATGAAAAACACTTGAGAACTATAAAGGAAAAATTTTCTACTTAAAACGTTAACAGTTTTCTTCTCGTTTCTTTTTTTATATTTATTTACATATTATTTATTCTTTTGTTCAAAGAGGTTCTGGGTTTTTTCTAAATATATTTTTACCATTTATTTTATTTATTATTTATTATATTTATTTTTTTTTTAATTTTTAATTTATTTTTTACTCAAAATGTTAGTTATTATTTACTTTTAAAAATTAAAAAATAATTCTTCACAAGAATTCAATTATTTTCCTAAATAATAACATTTTTCACGAGAATTCAATTATTTAAAAAGAATTAAATAAAATTCTTCGCAAGAATTCAATTATTTTCAAAAATAATAAAATTCTTCTCAAAAATTCAATTATTTTTTTAAAACATTGGTAAATTTTTCTTTTAATTCTTCACAATTATTCAATTATTTTTCTTAAATAATAAAGCCCGTCTATATACATAATAAATAAATAAATAAAATTTTTCACGAGAATTCAATTATTTAAAAAATATTAAATAAAATTCTTCGCAAGAACTCAATTATTAACATAAAATATTAAAATTTTTCACGAAAATTCAATTATTTAAAAAAATATTAAATAAAATTCTTCCCAAAAATTCAATTATTTTTTTAAAAAATTGATTTATTCTTTCTTTAATTCATCACTTATTCAATTATTTTCTTAAATAATAAAATTCTCCACGAGAATTCAATTATTTAAATAGAATTAAATAAAATTCTTTGCAATAATTCAATTATTTTTTTAAAAAATTGATAAATTCTTTTCTTTAATTTTTCACAATTTATTATTCAATTATTTTCCAAAATAATAAAATTTTTCACGAAAATTCAATTATTTGAAAAGAATTTAATAAAATTCTTCGCAAGCATTAAATTGTTTTTTAAAAATAATAAAATTCTTCTCAGAAATTCAATTATTTTTAAAAGAATTTATAAATTCTTGAATTCTTCACAATTACCTATTTAATTATTTTCTTAAATAATAAAATTTTTCACGAGAATTCAATTATTAAAAAAAAATTTTTTATATAAAATTCTTCGCAATAATTCAATTATTTTCATGTAAATAATAAAATTCTTCTCAGAAATTCAATTATTTTTTAAAAAATTTGGTAAATTCTTTCTTTAATTTTTCACAATTTATTATTCAATTATTTTCCAAAATAATACAATTTTTAACGAGAATTCAATTCCTTAAAAAAAATTAAATAACATTCTTCGCAGAAATTCAATTATGTTAAAAAATTATAGAAAAATTCTCGTCAAAATTTCAAATATTTTTATAATTATTAATAAAATTATTCTCTGAAGTTCAATTATTTTCAAAAAATTTCCTCAATTCTATGATTTTCAAAAATAATAAAAATTGCACAGGAATTATTTTCTTAAATAATAAAATTTTTTACAGGGATTCAATTATTTTCTAAAATTTAATTAAACTCATCGCAGAATTTCAATTATTTTTTATACAATTTTACGAGGTTTTTTTTTATTCCAGTTTTAAAACTATTAAAATTTTTAAAGATTTCAATTCAAAATTCTTTCAACATTTAATTATTTCTAAAAATATACACTATAACGCTTCTAGTATTGAAAAATAAGTGTATTCTATTAATAAATAATGTTAAACTTTTTTAAAAATAATAAAGTTCCGTTAAGAAATTTTATACAAATTGTATTGGAAATAATTAAATTTTTCTAAAGAATATTATAACTTATGAAATTAATTGAATTCTTGCGACGAATTTTATTGAAATTATTTGGAAATAATTTAATTGTTACGAAAAACTTTATTAAATTTTTTTAAAATAATAATAAAGTAATAAAATTTTCCACAAAAATTCAATTATTTTAAAAGAATTTAATGAAATTCTTCGCAAGAATTCAATTGTTTTGATAAATAATAAAATTCTCCTCAAAAATTCAATTATGTTAGAAAATTTTTTAATTTCATTTTATACAAAATTTTATCAAAATTCTTAAGAATAATTGAATTCTTTTGAAGAATTTCAATAAAAATTTTAAAATAATTATTGAATCTTGTCGAGAAATTTTTTTAATATTGTATTAAAAATAATTGAATTCCTACGGAAAAGTTTTATCAAAAAGTTTTCCAAAAAAATTTGAATTTCTGCAAAAATTTTGATATTTATGAAAATAATTGAATTCTCGCGAAGAATTTTATTAAATTTTTTGATACTAATTGAATTTCTGTAAATTTTCCAGAGGAATTTAATTATTTTTGAAAGTTTTAATATAATTCTTTACAAGAATTGAATTTTTAAATACTATTCTATCTTTTGAAGAATTGTAACTAATATTCTCGAAAATAATTTTAGAAAATAGAAAATTTTCTCAAATTTTATTAAAATAAATTTTATATTTGAATTGAAAGAATTTGATTTTCTCAGTTTAAAAAATAATTTTCAAGTATTATTGAATCTTTTGAAGAACTGTGTAACTAAAAATTTGGAAAATAATTAAATTTTACAACAATTTTTGTATTTAAATAATTTAATTATCGGTGAATTCTTATTAAAAATTGTTATAAATATTTGTTTTAGTTTGCAACTTCGTGGTGCACGACCGCTGTCTCAAGGCCGTCGTCTCTCCCTGCTCCAGCATCGCGGCAAGCCTGACAAAAGTATGTTTCAAATAAAAATTTTTAATTAAAAATTTAAATAAAAGAAAAGAAAAAATTAAAGTTGAAAAATGGAATTTTTTAAAAATTGTTTTCAATTATTTACAGAACCCGGTTGCACACTGTTGGTCCGAACAGGTAACACATAGAAGAAAATTTTGTAACGTTTGTCGAAAGAGGCTCGATGATCATTCGACGTCAATACATTGTGAAAGTGAGTTTTAATTATTACTATTTTTCTTAAAAAAAATAATTATTTCAGTCTAATTAAATTAGTTATAAACTAGTTCACCTATTAATTAGTTTGTAAACTAGTTAATTTATCGAATTTGTTTGTAAATTCGTTGTTTGTAAATTTTAAAACTAATCGGGTTACTTTTTCCTCATAAGTAAATTGTTTTTCAATTTCGCATTTACTTTAATTTAAATATAAATTTAATAATAATTTCCTAATAATTATTTATTAATAAATAAATTTTTTAATTTCTTTAAATTCGCATTTATTTTTTTTATATTTATTTAGTATCAATTAATAAATTATTATTAGTTTGTTTTTATAAGTATAAATAAAAATTAAAAAATTTAAATCAAAAGTAATTTATGAAAATAAATATTTTCTAAATAAACTTATTATTTAAAAATAGAATTTATTTTCGATCGTAAAATTAAGAATTCAAGTTGGATTATTGGAAACTGGGATTAGAAGACTAAAATTAGAAATATAATAAGGATAATGTAAAGTTGAACTATATTTACAGGATTAGTTAGAATCAAGATTCAGAATGGTGTGTTAAAATTTAATATCGTTTATAATATTTATTAGAGAAAGAAAAATTACTATTGAACTTAAATATTCGCTGTTGAATTAATGAAAAGTGACTAATGAAAATTCTTATTTGTAGAAGAAGGTGCTTAACTACTTATTCTTGCTATTCTTCTTTGCAGAAATAAAGAAGATAAAATCTCTTATGCAATTTGAAAGAAAATATTTTATTACAATTATAGCATTATATTTTTACTATCTATTTTATTATTTTTTAACTATATCATTAAATTAAATTTAATTTAAAATATTTTTATTATTAAATTTTAAAAAATAATTAAAGAAAAATTGACCAAAGAATATAATTGACTAATAAAAATTATGAAAAGTTTGTAATTTTTAAAAATTTTATTAAAATTCTTCGGAGAAATTAATTTCATTGCAAAAATTATACTAAAATTCGTTACAAGAATTCAATTATTTTCACAAAAAATAAAATTCGTCGCAGAAATTCGATTATTAAAAAATTTTTGTTTTAATTCTTGTCAAAATTTCAATTAATTTTAAAAATACCACTAAAATTCGTTTTCAAAATTCAAATCATTTCGAAAATTTTAATAAATTTCTTGTTAAAATTTCAATTATTTTCAAAAAATTTCCTCAATTCAATGATTTTCAATATCTATACTATTTCAATAAAATTCTACGCAAATATTTAATTATTTTCATAAATAATAAAAATTTCAGAAAAATTCAATTATTTACAAAATTTTCTATAAATTTCTTCGTAATAATTCAATTATTTTCATAAATAGTAAATTCTTTATTATTAATTCTAATAATAAATTCTTCTTTGGAAGAATTTTATCAAAATTCTTAAGAATAATTGAATTCTTTTGAAGAATTTCAATAAAAATTTTTAAATACCTAATTATTGAATATTATCAAGAAATTTTTTTAATTTTTTATTAAAAATAATTGAATTCCTACGAAAAAGTTTTATCAAATCTTTTAAAAATATTTGATTTTCTGCGAAAATTTTGATATTTATGAAAATAATTGAATTCTTGTGAAGAATTTTATTATGATTTTTAAAAATAATTGAATTTATGAAAAGATTTTTATTATTTAACGAAAATATTTTAAATCTTGCAAAAAATTTTATTGGAATTTTTTAAAGTAATTGAAGGTCTGCAAAGAATTTTTATTATTTTTAATTTAAGCTAAGAATTTTATTTAATTTTTGGAAAATAATTGAATTTCTGCTAATTGTTTAAAGGAATTTAATTATTTTTTAAATTTTTAATAAAATTCTTCGCACAAATTGAATTATTTTCATAAATAATAAAACTCATAGGAGGATTGCAATTTTTTTAAATACAATTTTAATCAAATTCCTCGAAAAATGTATTTATTCTTAAAAATTGTATTAAAATTCGTTGAAAGAATTCAATTATTTAAAAATTTGTTTATAAAATTTTTTATAAGAATTTTTAAAAGTAATAAAATAGTTCTCTGAAATTCAGTTATTTTTAAAAATTATAATAAAATTCTTCGCAAAAATTCAATTATGTTGAAAAATTTTTCCTCAATTTAATAATTTTCAAAATCTACTATTTTAATGAAATTTTCCAAAAGAATAAAATTATTTAAAACAAATTTTGATAAAATTCTACGCAAACATTTAATTATTTTCATAAATAATAAACTTTCTTTTTAGGAATTCAATTATTTTCATAAATAATAAAAGTCATAGAAAGATTTCAATTTTTTTAAGTACAATTTTAATCAAATTTCTCAAAAAATGTAATTATTCTTAAAAATTTTCTTAAAATTCGACGAAAGAATTCAATTATTTAAAAATTTGTTGATTATTTATCAAAATAATTGAAAACCTCTAAAAAATTTTATTATTCATGAAAATAATTTAATTATTGCGAAGAAGCTTATAAAAAAAAATGTGCAAATAATTGAATTCCTTTTTTATTATTTATGAAAATAATTAAATGATTGCGTAAAGTCTTATAAAAGATTTTTTTAAAATAGGTAATTGAATTTTTTTCGAAAATTTTATTAAAATATAAGATATTGAAAATCATTGAATTGTGGAAACTTTTTGAAAATAATTGAAATTTTGCCTAGAATTTTATTCTAATTTTTTGAAAATAATTATACTTCGGAGGAAAATTTTATTACTTATAAAGATAATTGAGATTTTCAAGTAAATTGTACGATATAATTTGGATAATTTTAGAGAAATTACAAATGATTGCAGAAATTCAATTATTTTCAAAAGTAATAAAATTCTTCGCAGAAATTCAATTATTTTTTTTTTATAAAGTTCTTCAGAATCATTCAATTATTTCTATAAATAATAAAATTCTTTTTAGGAATTCAATTATTTTCAAGAATAATGAAACTCATCGCAGAATTTCAATTATTTTTAATACAGTTTTAATCAAATTTCTCGAAAAGTGTAATTATTCTTAAAAATTTTATTAAAATTCGTCAAAAAATTCAATTATTTACAAATTTTTTTATAAAATTCTTCGTTATGAGAATTTAATTTTAAGAAACATTCAATTAATTATTTATTTGCATTTTATTTGTATTTAAATTTTAAATAATTGAATTCTAGTAGAATTTTCTAATAAAAATTGATTTTAAAATTAATTTTAGTTAAAATTCTAGATAATAATTGAATATTAAAAGAATTTAAATATTAAATTTAGAAAATTAAATTTTTAGAAATAATATTGAATTTTGAAAAGGTTTCAAACTAAAATTTTAGAAATTTTGAATTTTTCCATACTTTTAACTAACAATTTTGTAGAATTAATTTTTTTGAAAAAGTTTGATTGAATTCTTTTTTCATTTATTTGATGTTTTTATTTTTTAATACATATTTAAAAGAAGAATTTCCGAATAATGGAAATTTCATAAACATGAATTGTAAACAAATGGATTTGAAAATTCTCAAAGAAAAAAGTTCTTAATTATTTTCAAAAATTATTAAAAGTAATTGATTTAAAGAATAATTTTTGTTAAAAATTGTAGTAAATAATAATTGAATTGAAATGATGACAATTATTTTGAAGAAGTTACAGTAACAATAATTCTTATAATATAAAATAATGATTTTATCACTCGGTCATTTTTTAATTATTAGAAAACATGAAGAAATCGATCGCTCCGAGTCTTTGACTCGGAGCAAACGATATCTTCATGTTTTATAATAAAAAATAAATATTCTTCTAAGTTGTTGAATTTCATTTTGTTTTTTTTTTTTGTGTGAAAAAATCAAAAATTTGTCTAGAAATCAGGGGAAAGTGAGGGAAAAACAAAATTAAATTTTTGCCGCAACCCTGCTGGAATTACTGTAAAAAAAATTGTAATAATAATAATAATTCTAAAGTGAACGAATTAATAATGAAATTTTCTTTTTCTTTGCAGTTTGCGAGTACTTTGTTCACACGGATTGTCAGGATTTCGCGGTAGCCGATTGTAAGGAGAATGCAACGTATTTACCTGGGAAGGATTTGGTTTCAGTGAAGCATACGCATCACTGGCGAGAAGGCAATCTTCCCACTAATTCCAAATGCGCCATGTGTAAAAAGAGTTGTTTCTCCCTTGAGTGCCTCGCTGGATTTCGTTGCGAATGGTGTGGAATGACGGTAAATCAACTCTTTAATTATTTATAGGAGGGATCTACTTTTTCAAAAATGCATTAAATTGGTAACAATCTTTTTTTTTTCTTTTTATTTTTCCTCATTATATTTTTGCAATCAAGCACTCACTCATTTTTTTTCTCCTTTTTTAATGAGTGCATTTTTTCTTTTCTCTTTTATGGTCGCGAAACTCATTTTTCATTTTTACCTCATTTGCTTATGAAAGTTTCACGTATTTATATTCATCAAGAGAGAAAAAGAGAGAAAAAGAGAGAGAATGAGTGAGAGAAAGGTATTCTGAGTTGAGTAGATTTATAAGAACATAGAGGGTAAAAAAAAGAGGAAATTTTTTTTTTCTCTCTCGGAATTGAAGAAGAAAAGTGCATTTCTAAATTTTTGAACAATCCATTTATATTTTAAGAGTTTTATACGCCAAGTACGTGAAATGATATATGTATATATATAACTACTTTGGAAGAGTTTCTACTATTCTTTCTTTTTTTTTTTAAGTGTTTTCACTTTAAAGAAACGGATATTTTTCACAGAGTCAATTGTAATTTTTGTGTTTATTCAAAATTGTTTGTGGGAGGGGGGAATAATTTTTAATATTAAATTTTTCACTCCCAATATTAACAAATATTTTATTTATTTTTTATTATCAAGTTTCGATTGTTCGAATAATGGGAATTTGAATTTTTAGTTGAGATAAAAAATATTTTTCAATTTTTTCTTTATGTTTACTGAAATGAAAAATAAAGAAACGTAAATAAATTAGAAGCATTTGCAGGCTTCAGATTAATTCGACTTTTTTCGACTATTTTCCAAAAAGGCGACTTTCTCGATTCAATTATTTTCAAAAGTAATCAAATTCTTCACAAAAATTCAATTATATTCAAAAATTTTAAAAAATTCTAGTCAAAATTTCAATTATCTTTATAAATAATAAAATTCTTCTCCGAAGTTCAATTATTTTCGAAAAATTTGAATAAAATTCTTGGCAAAATTTCAATTATTTTCAAAAATTTTTCTCAATTTAATAATTTTTAAAATTTATTTTAATAAAATTTTCCAAAAGAATTAAATTATTTAAAACAAATTTTGATAAAATTCTATACGAACATTTAATTATTTTCATAATTAATAAAAATATCTCAGGAATTCAATTATTTGAACATTTTTTTTTATTTCTTCGCAATAATTAAATTATTTTCATAAATAATAAAATTTTTTAGTTGTTTTCAATTATTTTCATAAATAATAAAATTCTTCGCAAAAATGTAATTACTCGTACAATTTTAATAAAACTTCTTTTAATAAAACATGAAGACTTCAATTACTTTCAAAAGTTTAAATAAAATTCATTATAAAAATTCAATTATTTTGTTTGCAATTTTAAGTAAATTCCTCGAAGGACTTTAATTATTATCATAAATTTTGTTAATTTTAAAGCAATATAAAATTCGTTGCAAGAATTCAATTATTTTCACAAATAATATATTTTTTTCATCAGAATTCAATGATTTAAAAACATTTTTATAAAATTCTTCCTGAAAATTCAATTTTCATAAATAATAAAATTCTTTGCAAAATTTCAATTATTTTAAAACAATTTTTAATTAATTCATATAATTTAATTAAAATTGTGTTTTCAAATTAATTTCCATCTTATAAAGAATTTTATCAAAATTCTTAAGAATAATTGAATTTTTTCGAAGAATTTCAATAAAAATTTTTAAATAATTATTGAATCTTATCGAGAATTTTTTTTTAATATTGTATTAAAAATAATTGAATTCCTACGAAAAAGTTTTATCAAAACTTTTCGAAAATATTTTAATTTCTCCGAAAATTTTGATATTTATGAAAATAATTGAATTCTTGTGAAGAATTTTTTAGAGATTTTTGAAAATAATTGAATTTCTGCAGAGATTTTTATTTTTTAACGAAAATATTTAAATTCTTGAGAAATTCTTAAAATTCTTGAAAGTAATTGAATATCTGCAAAGAATTTTGTTATTTTTAATTTATGCTATGAACTTTATTCAATTTTTTTTTATAATAATTGAATTTCTGTGAGGTTTTCAGAGGAATTTAATTATTTTTGAAAGTTTTAATAAAATTCTTCGCAAGAATTCAATTATTTTCATAAATAATAAACTTCTTCTCATAAATTGAATTATTTTTATAAATAATAAAATTTACAGAGGAATTCAATTATTTTCATTAATAAAATCATTTTCTCAGGAATTCAATGATTTAAAATAAAAAATTTATTAAACATCATTTAAAAGAATTTAATTATTTTCATAAACAATAAAATTCTTTTGAGAAATTGAATTATTTTTTAGAAAATTGATAAATTCTTTTTCTTAATTCTTCACAATTATTCAATTATTTTTCGAAATAATAAAATTTTTCTCTAGAATTCAATTATTTTTAAAAAAAATTAAATAAAACTCTTCTCAGAGATTCAATTATTTTTTTAAAAATTTATAAATTCTTGAATTCTTTCTTTAATTTTTCATAAATACCAAAATTTTTCTCAGAAATTAAATTATTTTTTAAAAAATTTATAAACTGTTTATAAGAATTAAATTTTGAGAAACATTCAATTATTGAATATAATATTTTTTATTTATTTAAATAATTGAATTTTAGTTAAACTTTTTGTTTACTTTTAAAAATTACTTCAAATAAAATTTTTATTTTTTAGGACAAAAATTTAGGAAATAATTGAATTTTTCAAAAATTTAGAAGCAGAATTAGAATAGAAATAAATATTTTTTTTTTTTTGAAATCAGGAAACAGTCAGGGAAATACTGAATCAAATTTTTGTGAATCGACTAAAACAATTTTTTTTTATTCATTAAAATTATTTTTCGATAGCTACAATTTTACTACATTTTTCAGTATTAAAACTACTTTTTGATACTTTTTTAAAATTAATCATTGAGTGTGAAGCCTGTAATTATAACAAAAAAAAAACTTACAAATTTGAGGGAAATTTTAACAATGTTTTTCTGTTTTTAGTCGCATGCCTATTGTCATAAAAACATTCGTGAAGAATGTACTTTCGGAAGTTTAGAGAAGATCTATTTGCCTCCACATGCGATCAGTATTCCACGAACCGAAGTACCTATGGAAGCAATTATTGGGGTACAAGTGAGACGAAAGGAAAACATCTCCCGTGAGTATTCATGTCGTAAGTGTCTCTTCAATTTAATCAATATTTATTAATTAAATTAATTTTATTTACCAAATAGTAATAGTATACATATATTATAGAGAAATCGTTACTATACATTCGACGAAATATTCAAAAAAAAGAAAGAAAAAAATTACTATAAGGCGAGAGAGTATAAAAAAAAATTCTAAGCGTTAAAAGAAACAAAAAAATACTCCGAGAAATTTTAAAATACTTTGATTTTATCCACAAGTTTTTTTTGGGTAATTTAAATTTATTAAATAAATTTTTAGGGGAAAAAATTGTAATTTAGGAAAGAATATTCAAATAATGATTTGCTAATTATTTAATAATATTAATTAAAATATTTGAATTAGTAATTATTTATTTATAATAATAATTAAATAAGTAATTGAAATAACAATTGAGTTAGTAGTTAAACAATTAATTGAATTCGTAATAAAAATAGTAATTGAATTTGTAATAAAAATAGTAATTAAATTCGTAATTAATTCGTAATTAAAATAATAATTGAATTGATATTTAAATTAATGATTAAATTAGTAATTGCAATAACAATTGAGTTAGTATTTAAAATAATAATCGAATTAATAATATTAAAATAATAATTAAATTAGCAATTTGAAAAAAAATTGAATTAATAATTAAATGACAATTTGAAAACTAAAAAAAAATTGAATTAATAATTAAATGACAATTTGAAAACTAAAAAAAATTGAAATAATCAAAAATTGTAAATTGTAAATTGTAAATTTTTAAAGTAAGTACACCGCAAATTGAAATAAAAAAAACCCCTTGGAATGAAAATCAAAGTATTCAAAGTTTCGAAACTATTTTGTTATGTTTTTTTTTAAATATAAAGAATAGAAAAAAAATGTTCGTTTATGGAACAAGTTACCTCAAATTCTGAAAAAAGAGTTTTTTTTTAACAATCGTTTTTAATTTCATTAAAAATATAATTCATTTAGAAAAATGTAATTATTGAGAAAATTTTATTTTCGTATATGACTCGCATTAGAAATTGAATCGAACCATTTTAGGAGCTTTTGCATCTAGAGTACTTAGTTTTACTTTTTAATAGAAAAAAAAACTATTATTTATGGCAAAGTTAAAAAAATAAAAATTATTTTTTTTTTTTTAGAATTTTTTCCATATTTTGTAGATATTTGTTTCCTTAAAAGGAAATTTTAGAGAGTGAGAGATAATTTCATTTTCATGTAGGTAGTACTTGTGTTTTCATAATTAGAAAATTTGCAATTCACTTTTTTTCCCTTCTGTAATTTTGTTCACTAGCTAATTTTGAAGATATTGGTGTATATTCTAAAGGTTTGAATTCCAAATTTTTTTAAAACTTTTTTCATCTTTTTCAGTTTTTTTATTTCTGTTTCTTTTCAATTTCTTCGATTTTTTCTATTTAATGAAATTAAATTGAATTTTTAAATTTGTTCTACCTTTTTTAGTTTTTTATTCTGTGTATTATTAAATTATTATTAATTATTATTAAATTATTCTATTCTATTTATTTTAAATAAATAAATAATTATTTCTTGTTAATTTCTTCTATTTTATAACTTTTTTCAATTCTTTTCTACTTTTTCCATTTTTTTATTTATTTAGTAATGGAAATACACAGTCAGAGCCTTTTAATTCTTTTCCAATTTTTCAATTTCTCTAATTCAGATCCAAAAAGGTAAAACTTTCATCAAAATAATTAAACTTTACAAAAATGTTGTGTTTCAAATTTATTAAAAGAACGTTTATTAAATTAAAAATTTCAATCACAAATATTTTGAATTAAAGAAAAAAATTTCTGCCTCATTCAATTTGTGACATTTTTTTAAGTCTATGCACCAATATTTTCTTTTGTATTCTCATTTAATGTTCGTTTCTAGAATTTTGTAGTTTTTACTTGATAAAATCTTTTTATCACGAATCTTCTTTTTTTTCTTTGTCTAATTAAAAAAAAATACATTTAAATTTTTATTTATTTATTTCGTAATAAAATAAATGAAATGAATGTTATTAAATCTGAAAAAAAACTCGTGATTTGTCTACACAATTATGTCTTGATGTGAATTAAAACGAATGGGAAACAAATGTTTATTATTTTAGTTGAAAGAAAAAAAAAATTTTTTTTTGTAGAGTTTTCTAGCATTCGAGTTTTTTAATTATAAAGAAGAGGTTATATAGAAATATTCTGGTTTCATAAATATATATAGTAAACATATATATTTAATTTTGTCACGTGCAATGAAATTTACTTCTGTGAGAGGAAACTGTAATTTTTTTTCACTTTTTTTTTTATTTGCATCGCTTTTTTATTATTCTTCGGTCACTAATTGGTCTGTGACCAAAGTTTATATTACATTTTCATTGCTGCAAGGGTGATTCTCATTTAATAGCGTGATATCTCGATATCTTTTCAATTTTCTTTGAAAATTTCTTTATCAATTTTTTTTTTTTTTTTTGTGGAATTGGTAAAAAAATCAAATGTGCCAATCGACGAATTTTTATTACTCAAAAAAGAAAAAGAGAAAAAAGCAATTTTTGCTTTCTTTATGGAAAAGAATCGGAAGATTTGTACTTTAATAAGAATTGAAAATCACCCAAGTAGTCAATCAATGAGAAATTAATTAAAGAATACGGTTTTATCAAAATTTAATGAAACGAGAAAAAAAAATTTATTTCATTCGGACAATCGAATTTATTTAATCGAGTCGCCATTAATACTTTTCTATGTATCGCAATGATTTTAAAGATGAATTTTTTTTTAAATTCTTTGGCAAGAAACTCTTCCAATTTATAAATATCGTGTTTGCGTTTTGAACGTCTTTTTGGTTTATTTTGGATTTTTTCGTTTTTAATTATTTGTTTTTCTTTTCAAAATGGAATTCTGGGAAATAATTTTTTTTCTAAATTATCGTTAAAGATAGATTTCAATTTTATTTTTGCATTGAATTTTTCTTTTACTAATCGCAAGAACTTTTCAATTTTTAATCAATTTTTCTTTTTTGTAAAATTTAAAAAAAAGAAAACAAAACAAAAAGACCATTTCTGTTGAGGAAAAATATTTTCCATATTTGTTTATTTCTTTTTGAATTTTTTTTTTTTTTGTTTAAAATTAAAAAATGGTCTGGATTATATTTATTTATATTGTTTGTAATTTAAATTTAAAAAAATACAATTTTCTTTTGTACAGAAAAATATTTTTCATATTTGATTCTTTTTTCTAAAGTTGAAATTTAGAAAATATTTTTTTTGTTTCAGTAAAAATATTTCTTGGCGATTATAATAAATAAAATTCAATTTTTTTCTTTTGATAATTCGTTTATGGAATTTTGAAGTTTATTTCTTTCTTTCTGAGTTTAAAATTAAAAAATCCATTTTTTTTTTTGGAAAAATATTTGTAAAATGAAGGAAAAGAAAAATATCACCGACTTTTATGTATTCGAGGAGTTTTTTTTCATGTAAAGAGAGAAAAGAAGAAAAAAGAAATTGTGACGAAGACGGAAAACAAAAGACAAAAAAACACATAGAAAAGTAATTAGTGGCGATTGGACAATTTGCTTCTATTTGAAGATAACATCGGCGAGCAATTCGATTTTGCTGAGAGCGAACAAATTGGGGCTGCAGGCCGCCTGGCCGAAGCTTTGAGGCGGCTTTCACTATTTTTGCCACGTAGCTGCCATGGAAATTGTCATACTTCCCCTCCTTATGTTCGAGGTATCTAGATTATTAAAAAACAAAAAAACAAAAAAAAAAAACAAAGAGAAATTCATCGTCGTGCAATCAATGTGTGTCATAATACTACTACTACTTGACTACTTTATTTTGCATACAAATAATTTTTTTTCTTTTCTTTTTCGATGAGTATAAATGTAATTGAAACAGTCTCGAGAAAATTTAATTGAATTTATAGGAACAATGAAATTGTGCTCTAGTTGTCATCGTTAGGTGTGTAACGTTGCTGCTCTATCGACATCTTCATCATCCCGATGAAACAAGTAGTTTGTTTTGCATAATATTAATGCCGTACATTTCTTGTCTTCCCATATTATTGTCAGTGTTATTTTTTTTTGTTTTTTTTTCACCTCCTTGCGCGGAGGAAAATAGAGAGACTTTATTTGTTAATTAATTAATTTCATAAATTATTATATTTATTTTATTAAATTATATTAATTAATTTAATTAGTGTAAATAATTGTTAAATTTACTCAGGCTTCGTACTCAACTACAAAAACTTACTATTTACTATTTTTTTACGATTTGCTACTAATTGGACACTTTTTTTAGATTTGTGACACTAAAAAGCTAATTTTTTTTTCTTTGAGAATTTGCAAGACTTTAAATTCGCTAATTTGGAGTAAAAAAAATTATTCTCAAAAATTTTGATAAAATTCTTAGAAATAATTCAACAAATTTGAATAAAATTCTTTCCAACTATTCAATTATTTTCAAAAATGTTTCTAAATTCAATTATTTTCTATATCTACTATTTAAAAAAAAATTTCGAATAGAATTCAATTAATTTAAAAAATTTTTAATTCAATTATTTTCATAAATAATAAAATTCTTCTCAGGAATTCAATTATTTTTATAAATAATAAAATTCTTTTCAGGAATTCAATTATTTTTATAAATAATAAAATTCTTCTCATGAATTCAATTATTTTTAATACAATTTTTAAAAAATTATTTATTTTTGAAGTCTCGTACTTTTTTGCTTTTTTTTAAATTAATTATCGAGTACGAAGCCTTTTTACTTAATATATTAAATTTTAATCAGTAATATTATTTTTTCACAAAAAATTTTTGAGAAACATTAATAAAAATTCTATTTTTCTCCACGTGACAATAAATTTAATGATTCATTGTTCTCCAAGAATTTTAGATTTTGAAATAATTTTTTCTTCTATAATTTTGATTCAAATTTTTTTTTGCAATACTTTCGATTATTAAATTTTTTATAATTTTTTTAAAGAAAGAAATATTTATTT